GGGGTGGGGGGGATTGTATACCAATGAAGGAGTTTTTCTTTTGCTTTCCAAGGAGAAGAGTGACCTGGGGGTGGGGGTGGGGGGGGTGGGAAGAAAAGTGTAACAATGAATGAATGGAAATCCAAAATCTCTGTAGATGTTCATTGAAATTAATAAAAAAAAGAATTAATTGTGTTCATGTTAAACTTATACCTAGACCAACAAATTGTTGTCTGAACAGAACAATGGAACGCTGCATGGTTTAAAGTCAAGAAAGGTGTATGTTAGGGTTGTATCTTCTCTCTATACCTATTCAATCTGTGTACTGAACAAATGATTTGAGAAAACGGACTTTTTGATTAAGAATGTAGCATCAGAATCGAAGGAAGGCTCATCAACAAATTGCATTATGCAGATTAACATAATAGAGATTAGGCTTTACAACACAGAGTAATTACATTATGCCGATGATCACAGTCATCTTGACATACAATATTAACCATCATAGATATATTTGTTTTATATATAAATCTGTATGCAGAAATATCCCATATGAATCCTTTTTTTAAAGCTTATCTGCCCCATCCTGGACATTTTGCTCATTAGACTTTCTGGGAAACATGGTACACAAAGTATCCCTCAATGCTATTTTAGACAACTCCCTTCTTCTAATTCACATTTAGTTTCTACTTTTGAATTTTACTGTAGAAGCATGCACTTAACAGACACATCAGACATTTAGCCACTATCTTCACATACAGCCATAAAATCTAACTGGAAATTGGTAAGATTCTTGTGCTCCATTATTTTTCCATCCTCTTCTTTCCTTACAAAGTGTTCAGCATCAGAGAGGAAGGGAAAATCTGACTTTCTATGGGTAATGTTCATAAACATGGATAGATATGTAACTGGTCTTTCAGTGAGTTGAAGCTTTAGGCTGACAGTTTTCCTGAGCTGAGCAGGAATGCTGCTTAACACATTGGCATAGCAGCCAGAGTCTCATCCCTGTTGATTGGATCTATGGTTATACTTTGAAAAAAAAGACTCCATTCAGTTCCTTTGAGCTTTTTTGGATTTATGGTGCTGTGCCTTTTTATTTTAACAGCTGCATATTTGCATAACCTGTTAATGCTGTTTCCCTACGATTACTCTAATGGGCTTCCTTTTGATTTTTGGACATTTCTCTCCTTGTCCTTGTAGACTCAAAACAAAAGAGAAACTTTCATCTTCAACCTAAGTTCTGCCTGTTGCAAATCTTTCATATCTTCTCTCTACTATACAAGAAAGCTGAGTTTTGGAGAATATAATGTTGGCACATTTATGACTTGGTTTGTCTCTAAAACGTTCCTGATATTTTCTTAGTTTCTTTACTAATCTTTCTTGAGCTTTGTTGTTGTTGTTACTTGCCATCAAGTTGCTCATGACTCATAGTGACCCTAATATACAATAGCTTTGACCTCTGCCCTATCTTGAGCCAGTCTGACTGTGACACACCTAATCCCATTGACCTAGTTCATTTGGGGTCTTCCTCTCCAGGGTGCTATCCCTCCACCCTTCCAAGAATGATATGACTGGTCCCTCTTGGCCAAGTGCCCAAAGTATGTGAGACAGAGCTTCAAAATCCTTGCCTCCAAGTCAGGGGACCATTCAAAGCAAGACAAGGCCTACATATATAACTAGCTCCTTGAGTTTAGGTGCTGTATAATACTTATTACCTACCTATCTTACTTCAGTTTAACAAGGATTATTGAGTACTTGTAATGTTTCAGGAGTCACTTCGTGGTGCAAATAGGTGTTTGACTGCTAAATTGGCAACCTGCTTCTTTGGAAATACTGTGTGTTGCAGTTCTACTCTATACACAAGGGGTTTCCTCGAGTCAGAACTACTAAATAACTTGTCTGTTTTATACTATGTTGTAGGCACCAGGCTACCACCTGGAGTAGAGGAGTGTCTGCCTAGCTTTAGAGCGAAAATATTTGGCTCATTTTCTTTGTCTCATAATTAACTCCACTAGGATTCCATTGACAAGAGGGACCTACTCCTATCCCTACTGACTATCACATGGAAGGATACTTCTTTAGAGAGAGAGGAGGAAGAAGGGAGAGGGGTGAGAGAGGCGAAGGGGAAGTAAAGAGGGGGGTAGAAAAAAGAGAGAGAGGGTAGGAGGGAGGGAGAGATGGACTAGGGAAGGAGAGGGTAAAGGGGAAGGAGTGGAAAGAGGGAGGTGGGATGGAGTGGGGAGGACCAGTGGACTTCAAAGACTTTACAAAAGAATCCTGCTGTGAAAGTCATAACATTTTTTCTTACCTATAAACACAAGTAAACAAAGGTAGTAAGAATGGATGCATATTTTGATTTTAAATTATTATACTCACTGCAGTATCAATGTCCTGCGTTGAAAAGATCATTTCCTTCCACCAAAAATCTAAGATTAAAAAAGAATCTTTGAGGGAGGATATTATGTCTTTTAGTGAAGTTTTAATAAAGAACTCAAAGGCTTTAGATGTGGGGTCACAAACTGCAAGAGATAATTCCTTTCTTTATGATATTTATCTCCCGCTGTGCTGTGTGTGTTTTTTTTTGTTGATCAAGTCTGAAAATCTAATTACAGTTCTAAAGGTGAGAGGAAAGGATTTATTGCTCTCTCTGCTTCATACCAGGAAAGAGTGCGCCTCGACCTCTTCCTTTTGTCTTCTTAAAATGAAAGGAGGCAACGGGTGGAAGGTTTTTAGGGGTTAAACGGGGTTCTTAAAAAAAACTCTGGGGACCTCGTAGCTTTAACTTGAGAAGCTCCTGCAAAGCAGATGTTCTCCAAGGCTGGAGGACAGAGACCTGTCGAATAGACTTGGGGTACATACAGTACAGGTGGGGGGGCAGCTGTCTGGTCCGGAGCTGGAGGCGCCAGCACTCTGCAGGTGCAGGGCTTATCATTTTGTCGCTCAGTTCTCAAGAGGGCGGGGAATAATAGCGTTGCAGAGTGGAGGGGGATGGACCCTCTGAGGGAAGCTCAGTGAATTTCAGGCAGCGGGGTTCCAGCCGGGTGCTCTCACCTGACTTGGGGGAGGAGGAACAGCTGCCACTAGAACCTCGGGGAGGATAGAAGACCCTAGTTTGGACGCCAGAGGGCTGGTCTCGAAGGTCTCGGTCCGACTGTTGCTCCGTGATTGCGCTACTAACTTGCCCATCATTCCAGTGCCCTATCTCGATTGGCTGTTCCGTCTGCCATTCGGTTCCGCCGCGCTGACCCCCATTGGCCCCCCTCAGATTGAGGCTCCGCCCCAAGAGCTGGGCTCGGGCTGTGGGACACCGAGGAGAGAGCGCGGTGATTGCTCTGGGTTGGGGGGAGGCGGTGGCGGCTGAGGAGAAGGAGGTGGAGAAGGAGGAGGGGCGGGACCGGCTGGAAGCAGCGGTAGCAGCAGGCTGGGGTGATGGTGCAGGTGCCCGGGGCCCGCGCGGAACTGCCCGGTTGAGGGGCGCCTGGTCCGGGGTCCGCAGCGCCGCCGCGTCGCTCCCGGAGGCGGGCGAGCGGGCGGGAAGATGCTGAGCAGGTTGATGAGCGGCAGCAGCAGGAGCCTGGAGCGAGAGTACAGCTGCACGGTGCGGCTGCTGGACGACAGCGAATACACCTGCACCATCCAGGTCAGTGCCGCGTCGCCCTGCCGCGGGACCCCCTCGCTCCCCGAGTTAGGTCAACTTGGCCCACTGCCGCCGCCTGGGGGTCGCCCCTTCCCCAGCGCCGCGCTTTGTCTGCCGCGGGCTGCGGCGGACGGCCACGGAGCAGGGCGCCTCCGCTGGAGCCCCTGCTGGGGGCCGGGCACCTGGCGCTCGGTGCTGCTAACGTCTGGAACCTGAACTACTCCCTTCCCTTTTTCAGGGCTAGGGTCGCTCTGCCCTGGCTCCTCAGTCCCGCCTGTGTGGGGAGCGCCTTCCTGTGAGTTCGGAGGGAGGCGGGCAAGCGGGAGGCTGGTACCCCGGGTGCCCCGTCGGGGGGCGCTAGCTCCGGCTCTCCCGCCGGGCAAGGACGGCTGGCCGGCTTTTCTTATCTCTTTGGTTGGAAGGATAATAATGGTTTATGTCATAATTCCCCCCCCCTCCTCGGCATCTGTGAGTCAGAGCTCTGAGAAGGTAGAACTAAAAACGCAGCCCATGCAGAGTGGCCTATAGAAGGGAACCCAGCCCTCTAGGCTTTCAAGATTTAGGCCCCCTCCCGCCTTTCGCTCCCCAAATCTTATCTTGTAGGGCAGTTCTAGGGGGCGTGAGGTAAAGATTTAGCAACAAGTCTCAGCGATTTGGGGGTTAGAGATGGCAAGAAAGAATCAGTGACTTAAAAAACACACCAGTATGATCGTGGATCGTGCTGCCCAGCAGTTTTTGAGAATCTTGGTGTTTTTGAAGGGATTTGTACAACCGCTGGCTTCTGTTTCTGCACTGTTGTTATGTGGCACGTCAGGAATAGTAGTTTTTGCCAAGAATGCAGCCACAGCACTCTCTCCTTTATAAAGTCAGAGATGGGGGGGGGAAACATGGGCAGTGCTCCGGCGTTTAATTCATTAGCTAGGAGGATCCTGCGCTCACCGCCGGAAACTGCTTTTTTTCTGGAGAAGCAAAATTGAGTTGAACCCGGAGGGGTCTCACCTGATCCCTTGCCATTTGCAGCAAGAAACCAGAAGGGGCTTCTCGGCTCATATGTGACAGACAAAAAAACTGTCAGCCCAGGTTCTACCCTCTTTGTCTCCCTCTCGGTCCCTGCTTTATTTATTTATTTTTTTGCTGACAATGCTCAATAGAGGAAAATAACGGTGTGTGAGAAAGACAGTGGGTAGGGTATGAGAGCAGCTGCTCTCTGCTGACTCCGTGCTCAGTTCAGCCTTCTCTCCACTTTCCCTCCCCCTAGACCCAGCTCTGGGCATAAGTGCTGACTGCTGCCCAAGATCCAGGAGGGTAGAGAAAGAAAGAACACAGAATCCTTTTTTTTTTTTTTTTTTTTTTTAAGCTCTCCAATAGAGATTAAATAGAGATTCTAGCCATCAGAGCTGAAAGGATTTTTGTCTTTGGCTATGATAGGAGATGTTATGTATTATCTCCTTCGCGAATGAGTAGCTTGCTGCTTTTTGTTTCCATTGTATCCTTATGTGCCATATACAGGGTTTTTTGTTTTTGTTTTGTTTTTGGTGGAGGAGGGCTAGGAGAGGAGAAAACACTGAGTTAATATCTTCACCATTTGAGTATATTGTCAAGAGCCTTTAAAGCTTTTAGGCTTTTGTTTTAAAATTTAAAGCCTTTTACACAATAGTATTTCAAGGACAGTGTGAGATTTAAAGTTTACAAGTCCTCAAAATACTTCTGGGGTAAATGGTGAAATAAAAAAAAAATCTGGAGCAGGTCATTAACTTTTGTCAAGGTATATAGAGTACATATGAAGAAATATAATTCCTATCACTACTCCACTAGAAATGATGAGTAACCTTGTGCTTTAAGTATTGCTGTAAGGTAGCTAGTTCTGTTTCTCAGTTTGTGGAATCTTTGTGGTTGGTTAACTGGGATTATAGTTGTGGGTAGCTTTTATTTGTGAAAAAAAATAACTTAACCAACACTTACATTTATACTTTGTACATTCCTCTATGGTTATGCTTCTTTTTTCTGCTGATTTTATGTTATTACAAATTAATATGTTACAAAACATTTAGGATAGGTTTTGTTTTTTAAGCTTGATGTGACATGGTCCTACTGTAGTAAGGGTGCACTGGGTTCATACCTGGAATCTAAAAATAAGAATTCTCAAATATATGTAATATTGCCATTCTTTGACACCATTGCTGTGAACTGCTTTTCTTTTTACTCATATGAGATAGTGTTAGAAAGCCATTATTTCATGTGAAAGTATATTTTGTTCACATAGATTTTTTAGAACATGTAAAAATTGAAGTTTTCTTAGCAACTTTCTTTTACATTTCCATAAGAAGGTATATGTATGTTGTATATGTACACACTTATTTGTCAAACACTGGGCACAGGGTTTCACTATGGAAAGGAACACTGAAATACTTATTAAAGCAATATTTTCAACATTTTAGGATTATAGTGCCCTATGTTTCAAAAGAAAAAATAGTAATTTGAGCATCTTTTTCTTAAAGTGTTGTATGCCATATTTTTACTTAATTTAGTTATCTATTTAAAAAATACTTTAGAGACCACTTAGGATATTTCAATGTAGAAAGGAATACCATTGGGTTAGAGTTAAATAGCCACATTTGGTAAATTTCAGTTGTAGGAAATTCTGACAAAGTATTGGCTTACCCTTTCATATTGCAGCAGCTTTACTGCTCTGGCATTTAGAATGTGATTATTAAGGTAATGAAAATGCCTTGTATCTTCTCAATGAAGGTTGCCACAGTTACCAGACTATTTTTCATTCTTTCTGATTTGCAAAAGTATTTGTAGGCTATGGGAAATGAAAGGATACTTAGGAGGATTGTAGTATAATTGTTCCCCTGTGAAGAACACTGTTAACAGCTCCCTGACAGTTTTGAAGGTCATTGGCTCATAAATGAAGATCTGCTCATAAATGAAGATTTTTTTTACACCTGTTTCATTTATGCATAGCTGTATTTATTTACCGTCTTTCTTTTTTTGGTATTCTGTGTTTTATTTGGAAAATAATAGGAAAAACGAAAAGACAACCTACTACTTTGAACCCAGGATACTAAATGGAGTTACTTGAGTGCATTTAAATGCTTGGAATCTGCTATCCAAAGGAAGAGATTCTAACTGTCTTTCAGGATATAATACTTTATTTGAAATGACTAAAAATATATATTCTAGAATTTCTGGTAGAAAAGAATATTTAGGAAAAGACATTTTCAATTTAGAAGTAGTAATCACTTTGTGTGTGTGTGTGTGTGTGTGTGTGTGTGTGAAAGAGAGAGAGAGAGAGAGAGAGAAGAGAGAGAGAAGAGAGAGAGAAGGAGAGAGGCTAGATTTAGAGAGATAAGGGAAAGGGAAAGCAGTCCAAAAATTTGTCAAGTATGGCTGCTTGATTTTAACCTAGTGGTACCCATTTCTGTTCCAGAAGTGAGTTTTGTTTTACTGGTAACATATTAAAATAACAGCTGGTTAAGTGACTAGTTAAATTGGCTTTCATTTAAATAAGGCACTATTGTAAATAAAATGTGAATACATATGCAGTTCTGTATGTAGTTCAGTCAAGATTTGGATTTATTTCTTTGCTACTTAGATGTAGGACCTTGGATAAAAGGGGGACTACTAGAGAGAGAACTAAGATACGGAGCTGTGTGCTTGCACTCTGTATGCATTATTATATCACCTACCTTAGAACTTTATATTGACTTTATTCCCATTGCACTGGGTGAAAAACTGAGATTGTAGATTGGTGGGATAGTTTGGGTTTGTTGAATGATTGTTATTTGGTGTTCAGTAGGTGCTTACCTTAAATAAACCACTTGAGAGGTAGGTGATTTTATCTCCGTTTTATAGGTGAAGTCTAGGAAGCTAAAGAAAATTTCTCAAAGCTAGTAGAATGTGCTGTACATTTAAACTGGTCTTTTGGGACAAAAGTGCAACAATGAATGAATGGAAATCCAAAATCTCTGTAAATGTTCATTAAAATTAATACTAATAAAATTAAAAAAAACCCCAAACAAACCTGGTCTTTTGTCTCCAAAATCCACCTTTATTTCTTTCTCTATTCTTATTTTCCAAGTCACTTCTCATATCTTAATGTTTCATCTAAGAAATGGAAATATTTATATATATTTTATAGCAAAAAGAAAATTATTTGGAACTCACATTATAAGTAATAAGGAACATCTAAATAGACAGATATGCTCTATTTATATTGTATCTTATCCTGTGTGATGCTGTGTATTATTGAGTCAGAACCAACCCATGGCTGACCCTCTGGCAGGTTTTTAGGGGTAGATAATGGCATGGGAAGAGACTGCCCATCCTTTTCCTGTGTATCAGCTGGTAGAATTGAACCATGTGCCTTTGGGGTTGCTGCGCAGCTTCCTGCCACTAGGCCACCTACACATATGAAAAATAGAAATAAATATTTTACTTATTTTAGGAAAGTCAGCTTAACCTTTAAGTCCACTTAAAATTGTTTCTGATTAATTTTAGTGAAATGGTACAATCCGGGACTGGAATAAACTGGATTCTTTATTAGAGATTGTCTTTAAAATTTCAAAATTCAGATTTGCTTCTTATTCCTACAAGTCTTTGGCTTTAGAGTGTCATTGATTGCCTGGGCCATGATTCATCTTTTCTAATACCTTAATATTTGGTAAATAGAACCCTTGATTTCATTAGCGCAAATGCGATGCTAGAGAATTTGGATAATTTTATTCATAGAGAAAACACAAAGCTGTTATATTTTCATGAATATTGGAATTTTTAACTTTATTTTTAAAAAGTAATTATGCTGTCTCAGGATCTTTATTACAGTAGCAAGTCTGTTGAGGTCTAACCCTTGAAATAAGGAGAATTCCAAATTTAGTTCTCTAGAATCCTAGAAACATTTACATTCTGTTTATGAAATTCTGTATTAAGAAATTTTGTATAAGATTAATAATGCAGATGAACCTTTTAAGTAGAGAGGCTAAATTCTAGGTTTTTAATTG